CCCCAAAACCCCAAAACCCCAAAACCCCTAGTCTTGAGAAATGCTTATTTTTGGCAAATTAATTTGTTAACATATTAACTTTACATTAATAATAGTACTCTGACTCAATCCTTCTTAACCTATTACTTTTTCAATTTTATATAGGTCTCAACCTCAGGTATATCTTTATTTAAGAGATCCAAACTCTTTATAGATAAGTCACTGATAACTCCTTCTACCTTTTTAAAGCCAAACTTTTTATATACTGATACAATGATGGCACTGCTTACTTTTCTCTATTCTTGATTACTGGCTTCGATTCCTTCCTTACATTTCTAGAATAGAGCATTGAAAGGGAAAGTCTAGGCAGTAGTTTTCTTTTATGATTCATACTTTTAGAAGTCTTCAATTATTGACAAAAGTATTTGAAGTCGAGGAATCTGATGCTTGAAAGACGTTGCCAATTTTTTATTCAAGAAGGAGTTAGCTTTGAGTAAAAACCCAATTAAGAAGTTGCCCTCTAGTTGTTCTACTTAGAAAAAGTTGAGATAGCAGGACTCTGCCTTCTGCTTAAACTTGTTATCTGCTAGTTTATCTAATAGCTAGGCAAGCATTTTCTCTGTATTGGAGATTTCCTGCTTTGGGTTGATTGACTTATTCTTGGAGAGAACCCCAGAGTAGGCCTCTACAAGCGCAAAAGATTTCTAAGTAATTTACTAGACTTTGTCTTTGAGACATTCAGTAACAACTTATAATACTGCAGTGTTCGTGACTTCTACTTCCTTTGAGAGAATTTCATTAAGTTTTCCTATTAACTGCGTGATACCCTTCTCTCTGTTTTACCAGGATTTAGCAAATAACAATAGTGTGGCAGGTTCTCCTAAGTAAGGTAGTATGCCATCAGCAATAGGCCTTTGATTCGGAGCAATATTTTGAATCTTCAAGTCCTCTTCGTCTGGATTGATTGGACCTGCTCCACCAGTAGCACCGACTCCAGGTGCTCCACCATCAAAGTCCTCGTCATTAACTGTGTTAAAGTCAATAGGCTTCTTAAGATTATGAGCAGGGACTATAAGTTCCTCATTTCCTCTCATATTAATTGATCCGCCTAGACCTGCTGCATTTAACTTTAACGACTTCTCAGTGTAATTGTCATCTACATAGTTATTCTGACCTTTATATTGCTTATTTCCTTGTATTGGTCTGTCGTCCTTGAATTCTTCGTTTGGCTAAGTATCAAGTGGATGTAAACTTCTCATATCATCATCTATGTAATTTCCACTAGGCATATTATTATCTTATCTCTATGATCTTAAATCTTCAAAGTTTTCACCATCATCTGGCCTGCCTTATAATCGAGGTCCACCTCTAGTTTGTCTGATTGGTGTTAGTATTACTCTATCTGTATCAAGCGTCATCGCCATAGACCTGAGTCTGTCGATCTCGTATTTGAGTATCTTTGCTGAGTCAAAGTCATCACTTTCTATTGCTAATCGCTTTTATTGTTCTAATTTTATCAATTGCTGCCCAGCCACTCTCAATTTGTCTATGACATCTTTGAGATTCTTGGCCTTATCAAAATCATCCTATTCAACTGCCTTTACCTTAGCTGAATTCAAAGCTCTCAGTTTGTCCTAGATAGTTGGGTCCAAGTTCTCATCATTTACACTTGTCATTTTCATGTTTCTAGGTATTAAATTAGGATCAGTGTGAAAATCGCCTTTATACGCATACTGCTGTGCTGACCCAGAAGTGTTTGAGATCATTCCCATCTCGTACTCACCCATTAGGGATCCAACACAGTTGATACTAACAATACCCACCTGATTAAAGATGTTGAATTGATTCAGATGATTCTTATTAAGAACTATCTTCAAATACTGGCAGTACTGCTCTAAGTACACTGTCTTCAACTCTCTGGCTTAGTAATTTGTGCGAATGTTATCATCCAGGGAGAAGTGCCCTATTCTTTGGAAGCTCACATTTGGATTCTAAAGTGATACGAGTGAACCAGCACCAGAAGCAAAGTCAGGGGCATAAGATAGCAGTTCAATTAAGGAAGGTATCTTGTTCTGGTGAATCAAGAACTGAATCTGCTTGAGATGGACCAAGCATGGAAACTAGATGACAATTTCTTAGGGATAGACACAGAAACGCTGACTCTGCCAACCCTTGAGAAGTGACTAGTCCCGATCTAAATAATAAAGAATGAGGATTCAAAGATTGATAGTTACTCATTGAAAGCAATTCATTGATTGGGTACTGTGGATCCTAAGAAGTACAGTGAAAAATTCTAAAATTTAAACTTGATGCTGCAGCAGTTGCCATTTCGAAATCAAAATATTATTTTTAAAGTTAATAATTTGTATTTGTTTAAATGATTGCAGGAATTTCTATTGATAGTAGGATGCCGGGGTTTTGGGGTTTTGGGGTTTTGGGG